TCTGATTGTTTCTCTATGAAGCTTGTGACTGTTGAATATTGAGTTGTTATTGAGAATGTATAAACTGATATAGTGTGGTTATTGAGTTGTTTGTTTGGTAAACTGTTACGTTGTAGCTTGGAGGTTTAGATAGGGCATAAGGAGTACCCGTATTTTGTTCACTTAACTTGTGTTTAGAGGTTTGCTTGCTGGGTACCGCGTTGTTTGGTACTGACCCCCTGTTTCTACAAATTTTTGTAGGATACGAGCCTGGATCTTCATGATACCTGTCATTCTTTTCGTTTCCGAGGCATCTTGTGGAGGATTGTGAGGTAGCTGCTTGTCATCTCAGCGAACTTTCCTACTCCAGTTTAGGATTTTGTTTTTACTTGAAAGACAACTTCATTTTTAGACTCCTATTATATTTCAAATCTAATATTTACATTAGAGGCTTGTGCAAGTGACAACCTGGTTTTGGGAATTGAATTAATATGACTTGGTTTCATAATAGAAATTGTAGTTGAATTGTCATTACTTCCGCACTTTGTTAAATATTTGGTTTTAGGCTGACTTGTCTGGGTGGGATAAGACGAGTGCCATCATACCCATTTTTGGGTCGTGACAAAAATATATGCCTTCACTTAACAAGTAATGGACCAGGTCCCTTACTACACTAATGAATAAAAACATAAAGTTAAATGCAGTAAAATCAACACGATGATTTTACGTGGAAACCTCCTTGCTTAAGGGAGTAAAACCACGACCTGTCTCACAGGATTTTCAATCGTTTTCACTAATCTTCAAAAGCAAAAGTAAAACACGATTACACCAAATGTAAGAAAGAGTTATCAATCTCACAGTTAAGCAATAGTCCTCTATTTGTTAAAAAGCCTAAGTAGAAAACAATCTACCCACTAATCTATCCCACATGGACAACCTAGACTTTTAACAATACACACCAATTCCTTTATAGTTTCAGGAATGGTTTACAGTTTAAGAACAAGAGAATGTATTCCTAAACAACTAGACGAAAAGCTCCAGAAATTGTTGTTGTTCTTTGAATAATTCAGCCTTTGCTTTGTAGTAGCCGTTGCAAGAGTTCTTGAAAAGTTTTTATCAAGTTGCAAAAACTACTTTAAAATGTTTAGGAAAGTGCCTTTTGAATAGACAAGTCACTTTCGTAAACCTCTTTGCCATTCGTTGGAAAAGTCACACTTTCTGACACCATCGGGAAGTGTGCACCTACTTTCTGTACCGTCTGCAGCTTGCAGTCGGCTGGCTCATCATCATGAGAGCGTGGTACCTCTACTAGGTCCGTGGGTTTGTTTCATCTGCAACACTTAAGTAAGAACCTGCAATACTCAAGTAAGAAACCTGGTACCTTTACAAGGTCCCTAAGTTTATCAAATCATCAAAACTACAAATAACATTTTCCCCCTTTTTGATGATGCCAAACAACGATCAAGAATCTTCTCCAACTTTTTCCCCCCTTTTTATATTCCCCTTCACTGTACATTCCCCCTTACTGTATATTCCCCCTCACAGTATATTCCACTTCACTGAATTATCATTTAGCTACACACAACTTTACTTCCCCCTTTTGGCATCATAAAAAAGATATGCAGTAAACCAGTGAGTTCAACATAAACACTGAACAAGATCAAAGCTATCAAGCAATCTATCAGTAATGGAAAAGCATGCACAAACGAAGATAATTAGAACAACAAAGGAATAAATTAACCAGCACACCATCATAACATAAATACATTAAAAATAAACTGAATATCCATCAACACATTAATAAGCCACACAAAAAAAATTGACACAGGGAGGGTTGTTCAACAGGCTAGGAAGAGGGGGGGAGGATGAGACAGGGACTGGATAACAAGAGTGAGTCATGCATTGGAAGCATCATTGTCCTTGATGGCCTTTTCCTGCAGGGCAGTTATCTTCGCCTTCAACTCTTGAGCAGCAGACCTAGTAGTAGGTCGTCTCCTAGGGGCCTCCTCTACAACCTTCTCTTTTCCTTTTCTAGATTTGTCCCCTTCTCTTCTCTCAACCTTCCATTTTAAAGGTTCCTCCTCGCTTGCAGAGTCAGAGGAAGATGAAGAAGAGTACCTTCCTATATCAGGGGTCTTATCAAAGATAGGTTGAGTGGGTCTTACCTCTTCCCTTTCCAAGACTTCAGTATGCTCTGCCCTTGCTTCTTCCCGCATCATCACCAAGCTTTCAATCACCAGCTCTTCACTCGCTGCCAATATGTTGGACTCAGAAGACTTATGCTTGGGTAGATCACCTTCAAACATATTGTCAGGCAACATGTCGTGAAACGGACCAGGTTCGGTAGGCAGGACAAAACTGTTTAGATCTATGGCAAAAAAGGGGTTATCAGGGGTGTCTTGTTGAGAACTTGAAGGGGGTGGAAGTCTGGCTTGTGTAGTGGCCGGAGAATAGAAGGCAAGAGGCTCTATTATACTGAGAGCATTCGACATCTATTTGGAAGAAGATGAGGGGGAAGACATGATTTTCCCACTAGAGAATAGTTTCTTTGAACAGTGAAGAGAAAAAGAAGAAGACAAATTTTGCCTTTTGAAATTTTGCTAAAAATCCTTCGTGATCAGGAAGAAGAAGTTAAGAAACAGATGAGAGTTTCAAAAAGAAGTAAGGGTTTTTTAAATAAAGAGAAAAGGTACCAGGTCCGTGATTGGATGTGTTGTTTGAGAGAGAAACGATGGGACAAACGGTCAGAGTAACCAATGACTGACACATGACATTATCAACGGTCATATTTTCAGTTTCAAATTAATGTATAAATGCTAACCTGGACAGGCACAGGTACCATAGTACAATTAAATTTTATTCCTTAGTTGTTCTAGTTGCTTCCCTTGCTAAGCAAGTCCTTACTGAGAGTATACCTACAAAAGGCACAAAAATGATCTTTGTTCAATATTTAAATATTCACACAGAGGATACCTACACTGCAATTTTAGCCATCAAGGGTGTTCAACTGTTGGAAGCTAAGAGCATCGCTTGGAGAATAACATGCCCAACTTCAACCGATTTCTCTCAAATTGATCTTTGCTGAGAGCCTTGGTGAAGATATCTGCAATTTGCTCCTCCGTTGGAAAATATGTAAGCACAATATTTCCCTTCTCAACATTATCCCTAAAAAAATGATGTCTAACATCAATATGCTTTGTTCTCTTATGGTGGACTGGATTCTTTCCCATACTAACAACACTAGTATTGTCACACATAAGAGGAATTGCTTTGATGTGAATCTCAAAATCTTCCAAGTGTTGCCTGATCCACAGCAACTGAGAACAACAAGCTGCAGCAGCTACATATTCAGCTTCAGCAGTTGAAAGAGCCACAAAGTTCTGCTTCTTCATACCCCAAGAGATAAGTGATGATCCAAGGAAATTAGCCATTCCAGAGGTACTCTTCCTGTCAACTTGATAACCAGCAAAATCAGCATCAGCAAAACCAACCAGATCAAAAGTGTCACCTACAGGATAGAAGAGAACCAGGTCCCCTGTTTTCTTCAAGTATATGAGAATACGTTTTGCAGCCTTTAAGTGTGAATCACGAGGACATGCTTGAAACCTGGCACACATTCCAACACTATACACAATATCAAGCCTGCTAGCAGCCAGATATAACAAGGAGCCAATGATTCCCCTCTACATTGTCTAATTCACAAGAGGATCAGATTCTTCTACTATCATCTTGGAATTTGTTCCCATAGGAGTATCAATAGGTTTAGAATCAAACATATTGAATTTCTTCAGCAGCTCTTTAATGTGCTTCTCCTGGCATATTGAAATTCCATTTGTTGATTCCTTGATTTGCAGACCCAGGAAGAATGTCAATTCATCCATCATGCTCATTTGAAACTCCTTTCCAATTAAAGATGATAATTCTTCACACAGATGTTCTGAAGTAGCTCCAAAAATTATGTCAGCCACATAAACTTGAATGATAAACAATTCTTGTTCTTTTTTTAATAAGAACAGAGTATTATCTATCTTGCCTCGTTTGAACCCATTCTTCAGCAGAAACTTTCACAACTTTTCATACCATGCTCTTGGAGCTTGTTTCAGGCCATATAGTGTCTTATTCAATCTGAACACATGATTTGGTAGCTCTGCATGTTCAAAACCAGGAGGTTGCTTGACAAACACCTCCTCTTTAAGATCTCCATTCAGAAATGCACTCATCATATCCATTTGATACAACTTGAACCTCATAAATGCACCAAAAACTATTAAAATTCTAATAGCTTCCATTCTGGCAACAGGTGCAAAAGTCTCATCATAGTCTATTCCTTCTTCTTGATTGTATCCTTGCACCACCAACCTAGATTTATTTCTAGTAATCACTCCATTTTCATCAAGCTTGTTTCTGAAAACCCATCTACTTCCTATTATAGTTCTGCCTTCAGGTCGAGGAACCAGGTACCATACCTTGCTTCTTTCAAACTGATGAAGTTCTTCCTGCATAGAATTGATCCAGTCTGCATCACCTAATGCTTCTTTCACATTCTTGGGCTCAATAGATGATATAAATGCTGAGAATTCAACTAGATTTCTTGTTTTTTATCTAGTATGAATTCCAGAATTCAAAGGAGAGATGAGATTATTAAGAGGATGTGATGAACTATGCTTCCATCCTGACCTTGGAGAAGACTGATTCAGCTGATCGGCATGTTCTTCTTCATAAAGAGTGGCATCACTTTCTGGGGAGTCTGATGTACTCTGGCTTGAATTTTGAATTGTACCAGGTACCATATCTTCCTTTTCAACCTCAGCAGCCTCTTCAAGTAGAATATTATTCTGATCATCACATTCATTTTTCAGTTGTTGATCTACATCAGCTTCACCTCCTTCAGTCTTCTTTGATTTGATCATTTTCATCACATCATCATCATCATTTGATCCATCATTCTTCAAGCTTCTATCTTCATCAAATACAACATGAATGCTTTCTTCAATGCATTGAGTTAGTTTGTTGAATATTCTTTAAGCTTTGCTGGATGAAGAATATCCAACAAACACTCCTTCATCACTTCTAGGATCAAATTTTCCCAGATCATCCTTCCTATTATTCAGCACAAACCATCTGCATCCAAATGCTCTATGGTAACTCAGCATTGGCTTTCTGTTGTTAAGCAGCTCATATGGGGTCTTATTCAAAACAACTCTTATTAGACACCTGTTGGTAACATGACATGCTGTGTTAACAGTTTTAGCCTAGAAATTTTGAGGAAGATTTGATTCAATAATCATAGTTCTGGCAATGTTCACCAAGGTTCTATTCTTTCTTTCCACTACTCCATTTTGTTGAGGAGTTCTTGGAGCAGAGAAATTATGGCTCGTACCATTCTCACTGCAGAATCTATCCAGTGTTGAGTTCTCAAATTCTATGCCATGATCAGATCGAATACTGAAAATAACTTGATTCAATTTGTTTTGAATCATTTTGAAGAATACCACCAACTCTTTAGTTGTGTCTGCCTTTGATCTCAAGAATCTCGTCCAGGTGTATCTTGAGTAATCGTCAACAATCACCAAAATGTACTTCTTGCCGTTTCTGCTTTGAACTTTTAAGGGTCCACACAAGTCCATATGAAACATCTCCAGTGTTCTTGATGATGTTACTTGATTTTTGGGCTTAAAGGATGATCTGATTTGTTTTCCTTTAAAACAAGCTTCACAGATTTTATTTTTATCAAACTTCAGTTTCGGCAGACCTCGGACCAGGTCCTCATAAATCAATTTGTTCAATAAAAATGAGCTTACATGCCCTAGCCTACGATGCCAGAGATCAGCATTCTCATTCTGAGCACTAAGACATGTCAGGTCATCTCCATGAGACGTTTCCAAGTTTGCCACATACATATTTTTACTTCTGTGTGCAGTGAGAATTACCTTGTTTGTAGTTAGACTCACCAGAGTGCATTTCTCAGAAGTAAATTTGACCTCATTTCCTTTGTCACAGATTTGTGACTCACTCAACAAGCTGTACTTCAACTCATCCAAATGATACACATTGCCAATTGAATCTTCAAGAGATCTCCCTAGTTTGCCAACTCCCAAAATGTACCCCTTCTTACCATCATCAAAAGAGACACCTCCTCCTTGGAGTGTCTTGAGTGAGAGGAACTTATTTACATCACCAGTCATATGCTTAGAGTATCCACTGTCCATATACAAACATTGACTGCTGCTCCTCTCACTCACCTGCACCAAGAATCAGTTGTTTAGATTGGGAACCCATTTCAGCTTGAGTTCCCAGTAGGAAGACAAAGGAGTGATTAGATTATATTTAGTCCAATATGGTATATTTTGAAGCTTTCTAACAAAGGGCATAGGAGCAGGGACATAACTTTTCTTTGAAAGTCTGTGAGTTGATACATGTTTTGAAGGACCAGGTCTCTCCTTTGGTACATTTTGCCTTTAAGCATAATTAGAGAGCCTTTCATAGGAGTTTCTCGAGCTAGAACATTCACCCTTCAAATGTCCATTCTTACCACAGTGAAGACATAACATATTGTGTCAAATACAAACACATATTTACTGTGAGGATTATAAGGAGGAGTGATGTTCAGACATCCTAGTCCTTTCTTATTGAAATTACTCTGACTTGTTGCATTTTACAGTAACTTTGAGGATTTTGTCCACTTAAAGGATTTTTCAAGTTCTTCCTTAAGTTTAACAATATCCTGTTCTAATTTGTTACTCTTTTCAAGCGATACACCAAGTTTTTTCTCAGACATTTTCAGTTTCTCTTGAATTTGAGCTTGCAAACCATTAGACATTCCATTCAATTTTTCAGCTTCTTCAGTAATCTGGTTCAACTGGTTCTTAAGTTCAGAGTTATTTGACTCTAGAGACCCCATTCTTGACATTTTCTCTTCAAGTTTAACTTTGTTTTTTAGTCAAACTGTCAAGTTCAGCATTCATGGTGTCTCTTTCAAATGTTAACTCTATCACAGAATAAATAGTGACTTTTGCCAAAGTTCTCAATTTTTTAAGAGAATATTTATCCAAGTCATTTTTCATATCTAGAATAGTTACCTGATTGTCCTCTTCTTCATCTGCCGTGTGAGCCATGAGAGCAAACATTTCATTGAAGACAGTTTCCTCCTCATGTTCAGTAACCATGGACACATCTTTTGGCTCATCAGGGTCTTCTGGATCACTTGATGAATCACCCCATGCAGCAAGAGCCTTTTTGACAACCAAATCTGCAACAACTTTTCGATCTCTCTTACTGAGTATTAGGTCCCTTCTATTCTCTTTGTCACTTCTTAGTTTTTGATGTTCCTTTCTTTCATTCTTGAGCAAAGGACACTCTCTGATAAAGTGCCCAGCTTTTCCACACTTGTAGCAAGTATCACCTTGAGCAACATTACGAGTACCATTTGTTCCTCTTTAATAAACTTTGTTTTTCCTCACAATTTTTTGAAATCTGCTGATGAGATATGCCATATCATCATCACTGGAATCTTCATCTGATTTGTACTTCAGCATCAATGACTTTTCCTTCTTGGCTTCATTCTTAGATAAATCGTAATTTCGATTCATCTCGTGAGTCTTCAGATTACCAATCAAAGCATCCATATTCAGCAACTTCAGATCCTTGGCTTCAATAATGGCATCAACCTTGCTCTCCAAAGACTTTGGAAGAATTCGAAGCACTTTTCTGACTTGTTTGGTCATGCTTATAGGTTCACCTAGACTTCTCAGCTCATTTGTAATAGAAGACAACTTGGTGAACATGTCATGTATTGTTTCTCCTTCCTTCATTTAGAAGTTCTCATATCGTGAGGTAAGCATATCAATGTTAGATTCTTTTACTTGTTCAGTTCCTTCATGTGCAGTCTTCAAGCAGTCCCAAATTTCCTCAGCAGACTCACAGGCTGACACTCTGTTGTACTCATCAGGTCCTATCCCACAGACAAGAAGAGTTTTAGCTTTGAAACCTTTTTCAATCTTTTTCCTGTAAGCTTCGTCATATTTCTACCTAGGCTTTGGGACAAGAATAGTTTTCTCTCCATCCTTTTCTTCCATCGTAGGAACAAATGGTCCATCCAGTACAATATCCCATAACTCGCTGTCTTCAGCCATGAGGTAATTGTGCATTCTAACTTTCCACCAACTGTAGAAATGTCCATTGAAACGAGGAGGCCTGTTTGACGACTGACCTTCTTCGAGGTTAAGTGGAGCTGCCATTCTAGAGCGAATATCACTTCCTTGGTGTTGACCAAATAGATAGGGTCTGCTCTGATACCACTTGATAGAATATCTGTCTTCACTTAACAAGTAATGGACCAGGACCCTTACTACACTAATGAATAACAACAGAAATTTAAATGCAGTAAAATCAACAGGATGATTTTACGTGGAAACTTCCTTGCTTAAGGGAGTAAAACCACAACCTGTCTCACAGGATTTCAATCGTTTTCGATAATCTTCAAAAGCAAAATTAAAACACGATTACACCAAATGTAAGAAAGAGTTATCAATCTCACAGTTAAGCAATAGTCCTCTATTTGTTAAAAAGCCTAAGTAGAAAACAAACTACCCACTAATCTATCCCACCTGGACAACCTAGACTTTTAACAATACAAACCAATTCCTTTATAGTTTCAGGAATGGTTTACAGTTTAAGAACAAAAGAATGTATTCCTAAACAACTAGACGAAAAGCTCCAGAAATTGCTGTTGTTCTTGGAATAATCCTGCCTTTGCTTTGTAGTAGCCTTTGCAAGAGTTCATGAAAAGTTTTTATCAAGTTGCAAAAACTACTTTAAAAGGTTTAGAAAAGTTCCTTTTGAATAGACAAGTAACTTTCCTAAACCTCTTTGCCATTGGTTGGAAAAGTCACACTTTCTGACGCCATCGGGAAGTGTGCACCTACTTTCTGTACCGTCTCCAACTAGCAGTCGGCTGGCTCATCATCATGAGAGCTTGGTACCTCTACTAGGTCCCTGGGTTTGTTTCATCTGCAACACTTAAGTAAGAACCTGCAATACTCAAGTAAGAAACCTGGTACCTTTACAAGGTCCCTAAGTTTGTAAAATCATCAAAACTACAAATAATAGTTGTTTTAGCACATGAAGTTTATATGAAAAGTAAAGCCAAACATGAGGAACGCCGACGATCATATCTTCCTTACCGGCCGGACCTTGTTGGTTTCTTCACTAATGTTAATGGTGGATTAACCTGAAATGTACAACCATTTTAACATAATTAAAATTATATTTTTGTTTTCAATTTGTTAATAACCATTAAGCTGCGCAGGCTCAATGATTAAGGTTTGTTTTTTTATCTTTATTTTTTTATTTATTTTAAATACTCATTTACATTCTAGTTATAATTTTATGACTATTGATGAGGGTGAAAATAACTCTTGGAATGTTTCAAATTTCTGACTTATCAAATCAAAATTAATTGTTTTAGTTATTTATGTTTATAAATCTTATTATTAAACTTATATAATTGAGTTTTTTTAAATTTTTGATTAGTTTGTTGTTGTTTGATTTTCTTGATTTTTTTGAATTATTATATATTTGGTTTGGTGTGAAGCATTTTAATTAACAACAAAGTTTGTTTGAATTTTGTGAAATATGACGTTGATGACATGTGAAACCTTTGGAATTAAAATCCATATTAAATTTGGATATATTCTTAAATCCAAGAAATATAAAATCCAAATCAAAACTTTATTATTTATGTCTACGACGCGGATTTAGATTAAAGTTCAACTTTATTGGGCTAATTTGTTGAGTTGATTTTCAGATGACGTGACACACCAATCGAAATAAAGGATCAATAATAAGATGGTGTCACTAGTTTGTTGAGTTGAATTTCAAATGATGTGACACACCAAATCAAATCAAGGATCAATAATAAGATGATGTCACATATAAATGATGTGACACTCCTATGAAATTAAACACCAATTAAAGACTATCAAATGATCGATATGACATGGTCTGGACAATAAAAACTGATCTTATCACATAAAATTTGTAATAAACTTGATGACTCACATGAGCTGATCAAAATCATGCAAGAGAATGCATTTACACGAATTGTCTATCCCCTACAACTATAAATAGAGGTGTTACTTATCTTTCTCTTTATAGACAATCAGAGAAATGGAGAAAAAGTACCCACAACTAAAAGATTGTCCAAATAAGTGGAGAGTGTAGAATTCTCACGTAAAGAATTTAGAGAATTCAATGATTGTATTGATGATTAAAACTGTCAAGTACATGTTCCTTATATAAGAGGAGAGTCCTTGTCTAGTTATACTTAGAATTCTACTAGGACACAAATATACAATTTACATGAGTGTAGGTTAGTAGTTACTTCAATTACAGACACACATCAACCTAGTCGACATGTAATTAGTATTAAGTAGCCCGATCCTAATGTGACCCGAACTCTATAAAAATTGATAGTTGTACAAGTTTGTTGTACCTTGTATTCATTCTTGTCCACATCATAAACTCCCTTAATCATCATCACTTCCACTCAAGCTAGTGAAACAAGGAATTATTACTCCTAGCTTGTTTCGAAACTCACCAAAGACTTGTTTTGTCAATGATCATTGGAGCTCACAAATTGAGAAAGAAGTTGTCGTCTAACTACTTTATCTCAAACAAAAATAGTAGTCCATTTCAATATTTTTGTCTTTAGCATGCATAACTAGATTAAAAATCACGTACAAGATGCTCAAGTTATCACAATATAATATGGGATCTGAATTGAGAAACACCCCCAAGTTCATGAAGTAGGTATATAATCCATGTAATCTATGTTGTAGTGGAGGCCATTGCTTTATACTCAGCTTCATCACTCGATTCACTCGATTGTACTATATTCTGATTCTTGGAGGTGCAAGAAATACAATTTTCATCCTAGTAGATGTTATAGATTGGTTGATCTACTATTAGTTGTTCAAGCTCCCGAGTCCAAAATGTAGAGTACATTTTATGTATCTAAGAATAGTTTTTATTGCTTGAAGGGTTTTAATGTTAGGACTTTGAATAAATTGTTTCCTTGGTTCACAACATGAGTTGTATCAAGTATTGTGAGAGTCAAATACTAAATATTCCTTACTTTCATTCTGTATAACGAGACAACTACAAGACTTTCTACAGTTTTATGTCCTAAATGTTTGTAAGGCAAAAGAGTAGCTACAACCTTTGCCGATGTAATCTATGTCCTGTCCAGTCAGTAGCATACTTACTCTGACATAAGTAAATTCCTCCTTCAAAATACTTAATCTCTACCCCTAAGAAGCAATACAAAGTACCAAGATCTTTCATAATAACTCTTTAAAAAGTTGTAGAATCAAACTCGAGACATGTAATTGACTAATTCCTGTTACAATAATGTCATCAATATATAACAAGAGAAATGAGGTGCCTTCGTCATTTTGCAAAGTAAACAAGGAAGGACCTGCCTTATAATAAATTAAACCAAAATATAGGAGAGGCATGCTAAATCTATCAATCTAAGATCTTGGTGCCTATCTTAGGTCATACAATGCCTTTTTAGTAGACACAGATGTTGTAATACCAAGGATTAGAAAATCCAAAACATTGACTCATGTATACCTCACACTGCAAGAAACCTGGAGGAAAGCATTTTTGACCTCTAATTACCTAACTCTCTACTTAGAGCTGATTGTAATGGATATAACCATCCTAATAGTTGTGTACTTGACAACAGGGCTAAAAGTCACTTCAAAATCTATTAATTCATGTTGTGAGAAACCGACACTTGAGAACCATTGCTTGTCTTAAGCGAACCCTTGTCTTAGATAAACTCTCAGCGGAAGATTTTAAACATTGACAAGAGAATTCAAATATAGGATAACTCATTTCATCAAACTAAAATCATAAGTTTTAGAAATAAACATTTGAGTTAACCAATGTGGCAACTCAAATATTAACACAAGCCAATAACAAGATAATGACAAATGAACTAACAAACAGTCTATGAAGCCTATAACAACTAAGATGGACGTCGATACAGGACTACGAGTAAAAATGGTCCTCCAAAAGCAATGAGGCTCGCCAACTGATTCTAAGTGCTCAACTGGAACAGCGAAGCGCTGGATGTTGATCCTGGCTACCTATATGTGCATCATAAAATGATACAAACTAAATGACATAAGTATTACAAATGTACTAACATGTGAGGGGGGAAACTTAACATGAGATAAGCTTGTACTGAATTCTGAAAGAAACACTTAATTCAGCTTTACTCAACTCATGGATAATCAACTCAAGGAAAAATTAAACGACATTAAACATGAAGTTTATATAAAGAATTTAAAACAGTAAAAATAAAACTCAATATACATATACAAAATAAATTAATATAACTTTGTGGGAGTTTCTCTAACCGAAAACCATCACTATAAGCTATGTGATGATACAACGTTTTGCCCATGCTGCCAGAGCTGTTCTTTAGGTTGCCAAGATATAGAATAGATCAACTAAGTGGATCCACTATTTTATGCAAAAAAATACTAAGGAATAATCTAAGAACTATGACCATTTCTAACCATGATGACTACATGGTTTATGGAGACATTGAGTTTTTATGAAATCGTCCCAACATCGGTTATCAATGCTACTCCCAAGATACTCAACTCATGTTTTAAAAATGATAAATCTCTCGGTAGTTTGAGATAATTACTCAAAAACTAGCTCAAAAGCTCTCTTAGAAATCCTGTGAATACATTTCCTCTTTGGGAATAGTTAGTTCTCATTTACTATTTATGAAGAAATGAAATTCATTTGTTACTCTTATTTAACTCAAAGTCAACTCTTAAAACAAGATTAAAATATTTGTAAAAAACTCTATGAACTCTCTATACTTGGAACTTAATTTCTTTGAATTTGAATTTATAAATTCAAGGTTATGATTCAAGTTTATGGATAAGTTCTAGGTGTTTAGAAGTCATTCATAATATTTAGAATCAATACGCTTTAGATGGACTTAAATGTCCTAAACGACAAAAGACAGTTGTGCCGGCTCCTTAAGTTACTAGGGCTCATTTCTGTCGCAGTACTGGCGCATTGCCCCAACCTTCTAGGTGCAACATGTTTGCGTCGCCCTAGCATTGCCCCAATCAAAACTCACGAACTTGTTCTCTCTTTTTCTTACCTTAATTTGATTAATTTTGATTCCCTTTATCAATATCTTTTT